CTCCGAAAGGTAGCCTTATCATCGGCACAACTCACCGACAACGCCTTATCTTGGTGGGATAGGACAGTGGCCGAGAGGAGGAGGCAAAGATTTGCTCCAATCAACAATTGGGAAGACATGAAGTACCTCTTGAGGTTGAGGTATGTTCCTGATCACTATCATAGAGACTTACAAAAACGTTTTAGAAAATTGTCTCAGGGAACAAGGACCGTGGACGAGTACTTTGAGGAGTTTGAGAAGCTCATGAACTCCTTGGAGTTAGAAGAATCCAGCGAGTCATTGATGGCTCAATTCATTGACGGGTTGCAAGAGCGTATAGCCCGAAAGGTGGAGACGTCCAACTATAGCAGCCTACATGAACTACTTCACAAGGCTGTACAAGTAGAGCAACAAATCAAGCGTAAGATGTCTTTGAGCAATCGTACCAGAAGTAGTGCACCTTGGAACGCAAGTAACAACCGAGGCATGGACAAAGGCAAATCTATAGACAACGATTCTCGATTCAAGAACAAGTCAAGTGAAGCGCCTAAGGTCACCAAGCCTGAACCAGGTAAGTTTCCTAGCACTAGTCAATCTCGTACCCGTGACATTACTTGTTTTAAATGTCAAGGTAGAGGACACATGGCGAGAGAGTGTCCGAACCAACGAGTGATGATTCTCACTCCTAGTGGAGACTACGAGTCTCAAGATGAGCAAGATGAGAACCTGAATGATCCAGAGGAAGATGTGGAGTATCCTGATGTAGGAGAACTCCTTGTGATCCGACGTATGCTGAGCGTGTATATCAACCCCGAGGAGAAAGTTCAAAGAGAAAATATCTTTCACACTCGGTGCACAATCAATAACAAGGTATGTAATTTGGTTATTGATAGAGGTTCTTGCACTAATGTTGCTAGCAAGTATATGGTAGACAGGTTAGGTCTTCAAAAGAGAAAGCATCCGAGACCATACAAACTTAGGTGGCTGAACGATGATGCTGAGCTAAAGATCGCTAAACAAGTGACTGTATCATTCAGCGTTGGAAAGTACCAGGACCAAGTTATTTGTGATATAGTTCCAATGAGAGCCGGACATCTTCTCCTTGGAAGACCATGGCAGTTCGATCGAGCTACTAATCATGATGGTCGCACAAACCACTACTCTTTCACCCACAATGACCGTAAGTTTAACCTTGCCCCTCTAAGTCCATCAGAAGTTCATGAGTTGCAAAAACACATGAACAAAGAGGTCGAGGTAAGAACTTCTAGCCTTTACTTAAGTTCTAGTCAAATTTGTAAAACCATGAGTGCTCATGGCACCGTGCTACTAATGGTTTTCAAAGAATGTCTAAGTACAGGTATAGCTGAAGTTGAACTACCTGCTGAAGTACGAGCTGTACTAGATCAATACAACGATGTTTTTCCGGAGGAGATTCCACCAGGACTACCCCCTATTCGTGGCATCGAACATCAAATCGATCTTGTACCAGGTTCTGATCTACCTAACAAACCAGCTTACCGAATGAATCCGGAGGAGTCTAAGGAGTTAGAAAAGCAAGTGCGCGACTTGATGGACAAAGGGTACATCAGAGAGAGCCTTAGCCCGTGTGCTGTACCCGTTCTCTTGGTACCAAAGAAGGATGGCACATGGAGGATGTGTGTAGACTGCCGAGCAATCAACAACATCACCATCAAATACCGACATCCTATTCCGAGGCTAGACGACATGTTAGACGAGCTAAGTGGTGCAATCATCTTCTCTAAAATTGACTTGCGAAGCGGCTATCACCAAGTCCGAATGAGAGAAGGCGACGAGTGGAAGACCGCATTCAAGACCAAACAAGGTCTCTATGAATGGCTCGTTATGCCCTTCGGGCTAACCAATGCACCAAGCACCTTCATGCGATTGATGAACCAGGTTTTAAGGTCATTTATTGGTAAATTTGTTGTTGTCTACTTTGATGACATACTTATTTACAGTAAATGCTATTCTGATCATACTAAGCACTTAGAGTTAATTCTGAAAACGCTTCGGAAGGAAGGCCTTTATGCTAACCTAAAGAAGTGCTCATTTTGTACTTACAAGTGTGTGTTCCTAGGTTTTGTAGTGAGTAAAAATGGCATACAGGTTGATGAAGAAAAGATCAAGGCGATCCGCGAATGGCCTACTCCAACATCTATTGGACATGTTCGTAGTTTTCATGGACTAGCAAGCTTCTACAGGAGGTTTGTCAGAGACTTCAGCATAGTGGCTGCACCAATGACTGCTGTTATCAAGAAAAATGTACCATTCTCATGGGGAGAAGCCCAAGAACAGTCATTCAACACGCTGAAATAGAGGCTCACACAAGCACCAGTTTTAGCACTTCCAGATTTTGAAATTATGTTTGAAGTGGAGTGTGATACATCAGGTTTGTGAATTGGAGCTGTACTACATCAGAGAAAAAGACCAGTC